TTAACGAGCTTTTGAAAAAGAGTAGCCAATTCCCCAATCAAGATAGAAAATATTTCTATCTCTAGAAAAATTCCTTTGGGGCCCTTCCAGTCAGTTCTCATTACTTCTGCCCTTTGGAAAACCTGTTTTACTTTTATCACCAATATCGGTGGTTCTTACACTCTTCTGCAGGACTTTTTTTTTTATTATTATTTTTTTTGAGACAGAGTTTTGCTCTTGTTGCCCAGGCTGGAGTGCAATGGCGCGATCTCGTCTCACCGCAACCTCTGCCTCCTGGGTTCAGGCAATTCTCCTGCCTCAGCCTCCTCAGTAGCTGGGATTACAGGCACGCGCCACCATGCCCAGCTGATTTTTTGTATTTTTAGTAGAGACGGGGTTTCACCGTGTTGACCAGGATGGTCTCGATCTCTTGACCTTGTGATCCACCTGCCTCGGCCTCCCAAAGTGCTGGGATTACAGGCTTGAGCCACCGCGCCCGGCTTCTGCAGGACTTTTATTATTTTTTTTATTTTTATTTTTATTTTTTTTTGAGACGGAGTTTCACTCGTTACCCAGGCTGGAGTGCAATGGCGCGACCTTGGCTCACCGCAACCTCCGCCTCCTGGGTTCAGGCAATTCTCCTGCCTCAGCCTCCTGAGTAGCTGGGATTACAGGCACGCGCCACCATGCCCAGCTAATTTTTTGTATTTTTAGTAGAGACGGGGTTTCACCGTGTTGACCAGGATGGTCTCGATCTCTTGACCTCGTGATCCACCCGCCTCGGCCTCCCAAAGTGCTGGGATTACAGGCTTGAGCCACCGCGCCCGGCCTTTCTGCAGGACTTTTAAAAACACATTGTTCAACCCCAACCTGTGTCATTCAGTAGGTCTGAGATAAAATTAATTTTCATTTCTGCCAGGCGTGGTGGCTCACGCCTGAAATCCCAGCACTTTGGGAGGCCAAATGGGGCAGATCATGAGGTCAGGAGTTTCACACCAGCCAGACCAATATGGTGAAACCCCGTCTCTACTAAAAATACAAAAATGAGCCAAGCATGATAGCATGCACCTGTAGTCCCAGCTACTCGGGGTAGGCTGAGGCAGAACTGCTTGAACCCGGGAGGTGGAGGTTGCAGTGAATTTGCATTTCAAAGTTTCAGGCTAATATGGATGCTCCTGGTTTGGGGACTAAATGAGAATCACTGTCATATTTTATGGAAAACAACTTTTTTTGAGACAAAGTTTTGATATTTTTGCCCAGGCTGGAGTGCTATGGCCCAATCTTGGGCTCACTGCAACCTCTGCCTCCCAGATTCATGCAATTCTCCTGTCTCAGCCTCCCAAGTAGTTGGGATTACAGGTGTGCAGCACCACACTTGCCTTACTTTGTACTTTTAGTAGAGACGGTTTCACCACGCTGGCCAGGCAGGTCTCAGACTCAAACCTCAAGTGATCCGCCCGCCTCAGCCATCCAAAGTGCTGGGATTATTGGCATGAGCCACCGCATTAGATCAACTTTATTTGAATAGAGATTGTCCTCTTGTTAATTACCTTTCTTCCTGGATTCTTTTTGAGGGTCTTGTTCTGTTGCCCAAGCTGAAAGGCAGTGGTGCGATCATGGCTCACTGCAGCCTCGACCTCTGCAGCCTCCTGAGCAGCTGGGACTATAGGCCACAGGCCATCACAGCTGGCTAATTTTTGTATTTGGTGAAAGGTTTTCAACACGTTGCCCAGGCTGGTCTTGAACTCCTGAGTTCAAGTCACCTGCCAGCCTGTCTCCCATGTTGGGATTACAGGCGTGAGCCTCCACCCTGGCCTCTGTCACTCTTCACATATGGCTATGTCGATGCAACTGTCATTCAAAGCAAGATGTACTCACTTCATCAGCCTGAGACAACAGGTATAATCAGGATTGCTTCCTCATGATTAGACTTACATTCTTTTTGGCAATGATACTGTGTACTTTCCATTGTTGATTGGAAAAGACATTTCAGTTTGTAACATTCCTGGTGGTGCTGAGTTGGAATACTTGGTTAAGGTGGCTGTCACCAAATTCCAATTTTTATGTCCATAAACCTCATCATGCCAATATGTAGAAATTTTATGTCTATCAGCAATGGGTTCGCAGGTCCTGACCAACATTTTCCCTTGGGAGCTGCCATGTCCCTTTGGAGCCAAGAAAAATTTGGAGGGCTGGCTCCAGGTTTTCCACACCACATACAATGTGGGCACAGACCTATTTGTGCAAATGTTACCTTTACATGCAGATGGGAAATTAGGAATATAAACCTCTTCTCTCAGCTCCTCCCAAAACAAGATATCATACCATATCACGCCTCTGCCAAGGAACTCATGAGACACAGAATTTATAGCTCCAGCAGTCTTCCTCTTTGTATTCTGGGAGTATGGGAGGGAAACAGGGAGTGGGGAATTGAACGTGATAGGAACTTTGGGGAGGCTTGTGAAAATGAGGGTGATTTAGAGAGTATGTAACTTTAAGGTTTTATCTTCCCAGGGCAGGAAGGATGAGTAAATAAACGGTCTTACTGGTAGAATGCAATTAAGCAAAGGAAATTTCCAAGTTAATAGAAAGGAAGAAAACAGAATAGAAACTTGACCCATCCAGGCTGGGCGTGGGGGCTGGCTCATGCCTGTAATCCAAGCACTTTGGAGGCCAAGGCGAGCAGATCACCTGAGGTCAGGAGTTCAAGACCAGCCTGACCAATACAGTGAAACTCCGCCTTTATTTTTAAAAAATAATAATTTAATTAAAAATAAATAAATAGGCCGGGCGCGGTGGCTCAAGCCTGTGATCCCAGCACTTTGAGAGGCAGAGGCGGGTGGATCACGAGGTCAAGAGATTGAGACCATCCTGGTCAACATGGTGAAACCCCGTCTCTACTAAAAATACAAAAAAAAATTAGCTGGGCATGGTGGCGCGTGCTTGTAATCCCAGCTACTCAGGAGGCTGAGGCAGGAGAATTGCCTGAACCCAGGAGGCGGAGGTTGCGGTGAGCCGAGATCGCGCCATTG